TCTCTCTCTCTCTCTCTCTCTCTCTCTCTCTCTCTCTCTAGGCTGGCAATTTCTTATTATTGGTAACACAAGGAAGCACCACATACACAACAATAAAAGGGATTTTATTCATTTTTTGTGTTCCCTAATAAATGAGTTTAGCGTCTTTTCTATGTTCTATGTGATTTACAGTAAGTAAAGGAGATTATTGTTTTCTGTTTAGCACTTCATTAGGAGTTACAATCTGGTTAGTTTCCAATTTTTTAAAGATAAACGTGTGTTAATCTTTATCTCCTGCTTCTAAGTGTTGAGTTTGGTTCATATCCATTATTTTATATTTTCTCTTTCTGAGGATTGATCTCTCTCTTAATTCAGAGGTCCTTTTCGTCCACTATAAACACCTTGTCTTTTACTTAGCCTTTTCCTATTTTAGGGGTGAGTGAGTACGAACTCAATGATGAAAGCAATAATACAGGGAGATTAATGAGACAACAAAAACAAAAAGAAAAAAGAATAATCACACCTAAAGAATCTAATTTTGCTTTTTCTTTTCTATTTTTATTGCTGCTAATATTTCATTGCCATTGATGCATTTACTACCTTAGTTTGATATAAAAGATTGAGAACTTGTCTTCTATGGATGCACATGTTAATACATCGCATATTGTGGTATGAGCATAAACTCTACTTCATGGACTGCTCAATGTTGTATTCTTTGTACATGAAAACTTTACTTCATAGCATTTGCTTATGAAAGTTAGATGTGATATTGAGCAGTTTTATATATTTTTCTTGCCAAAGTTATTTTACTAATGTAATTGATGTGCACTATTTTGAAACTGAGAGCACAATGACATGATATATAGAGAATTTTGGGGAAAATTATTGGAAACATCAAAACTATCATTTATTTTTTTTTGCAAGGATAATTGGAATTTATCCTTAAATGATTACAAGTTGTGACTCTCTTTTTATACTACATAATAATTTTGGTGATTTCTAGTTAGTTTCTTTAACAAGTTATCTTGTTTAGAACTTAGAAACTTTTTAGGACACTCGCAAATGACCTAGTCCTATGGCTAGCAAAATTGTAATGGATCAATTTCCAAAATAGAAAAGCTAAATGGGACCAAGTATGTGGAAGAGGAAGAAGGAATATCTCCTTATTTAAAATAGAATTTTATTGCGCTAAAAGATGACCTACCAATCATTAGTGACAAAGTGAGTGCAGAAGAAAAGAAAAAATTAGAAAAATTTCTAGGAGATGACCTCAAAGCTAAGACAACAATGTCAACGTTTATGCAAGATGATCTTATTATGGTATTTGAACAATTGTTAGAGGTAATAAAGACGAAAATATAACTCAATAACAAAGACTCACCTCCAACTGCTTCTAGAGCAATAGTCGAAAGGTGGAAGACTGCTCATAAATGATATCCACAAATTCTAAAGAATAGTAGAAATGGGAGCAAAGGAGTGAAGTCATTTGTGGTCTTAGAGTGCTTGCTTGTAAACCACGACATCAAAGAATAGTGGGTAGATTCAAGCACTGTGACATTGCAAGCTCTAGGAGCCTTTTCGAAGATTTCAAAGACATAAAAGTTGCGAAGAAGGACATCTAATGGGTAAAAACATACACTGATGTATTAGGTGTAGAAACATATAGTTATCTGTAGGGCAATCGATCTTATATTGATTGATATATGTTGTAGAGATAAAAGACATTGAAGAGAAAAAAGTTATTAAAGAGATAAAAGACATCAGACTCATCAGCCTATTGGGGTATCTATATAACAGTATTGCCAAAGTTTTGAAATAATACATTGCGTGAAGTCTTACGTTTGGTCGCCATGGGACCACAATTAACTTTTCTAAAAGATAGGCAAATCATAGATAGTATGTTGATGGCACAACAATGTATTCACAATAGATTGAAGGATGAAAAACCGGGTTTGATGTGCAAGATCAATTTTGAAAAAGCTTATAACAAAGTGGATTGGCAAGTGCTTCACACCATTACGGAGAAGATGAGCTTTTGCTTACGATGGAGATGATGGATTCGAAGATGTTTATCTTTGACACATTTCTCTCTCCTTATTAATGAAATTTTGACGGGCTTCTTTTGTTCTTAAAGACGCTTAAAGCAAGGAGAGCCTCTATGCCCTTTCCTATACAATATTGTTATTGAGAGCTTTCGTGTAATGTTAAATCTGTGGTGAATAGAGGTATTATTTTGGGAATTACTGTTGATAATGGTGGGCTCAAGGTGTCACATTTGCAGTATGCAGATGACACCAATAATTTTATATGATCCAACAGAGGCAGAAGTGAAGAACTTAAGGATTTTCCTAAAGTGTATGGAGTTAGCCATTGAGCTGAAGGTTGACTTGGAAAAAACTAATTTAATTGGAATTAGGTGTTCGGAGGAGACAGTACTCTTTCTAGCTGAGTTGATGGGTTGTGGAGTGGATCACTTGCATTGTAAGTATATCCCTTTAGTTGCTATCCGACCTCCTAGATCTATATGGGATCTGTAATTGAGAGATTTAATATAAAAAAACTGGATTTATAGACATTTAAAACTCTCTCGTGGGGAGAGTGACTTTGATCAAATCGACCTAGTCTAACTTACCAGACTTTGATCAAATCGACCTAGTCTAACTTACCTGTCTATTATACGTCATTGTTTCATATGCCTAAACAACTGGTAACGCATTTGGAGAAGATTATAAGAGCCTTCTTATGGGGCAGCTTTGGAGATGCAAGAAGTTGAATCTAGTCAAGTGGGAAGGGGTATGTGCTATAGTGAAGGGAGGTTTCGGAGTCAAGAACTTGAATACTAGCCTTCTTACTAAATGGCGGTGGAGGTGCCATTCTCCACAAAAGAGTCTTTGATGTGATGCGGTTAAACAAAAATACGGGAAGGATGCTATAATTAGGAGTGATCAAAAGCCCAAGAACCTAAAGCTCTTTATCATGCATTTGGAGGGGGTTTGATTTTTGTAGACCATTGATATACACAACATTATCGCAAAATGGTGGGTCGAGGAGATAAAACTTATTTCTGGTGGGGTAAGTGGATCGGCGAAGAGGCTCTTAGATTTTCCTTCTCTAAAGTTTCTAATCCCCTTTCCTCTGTCAAAGAGGTCAGGGGGGCAAATACTGATAGTGGCTGGTCTATTTCTTACGGGTACAGGAGAATGTCCGCTAGATTTTTTGCCGAATTTCAGAGACTTATGGAGGCGCTCGAATCTTTTTATTTCTGCCCCGCTAAAGAGGACAACCTTCTCCAGGATCTTACAACTTCGGGGGACTTCATAGTAAAGTTTGTTTATAAGTTCCTCAATGGGTAACGTGGTAGCTCTTTTGAACCAAGCATAGCTAAAATCTGGAGGTTGCACGTTGCTCTCGAAGTGCAGGTTTTCCTTCGAATAGCTTGTCAAAGGAAGTTGGCTACAGTTGACAATTTGTGCAAAATGGGCATCATCCTTGTAAATGTTTGTATCCAACAGTAGATCATTTACTCCTTCATTGTCCCTTCACTATGGGATTGTGGGATTGGGTTGGGAGATTTCGAATTTATACATCCCATTATGGGTTTGCTTCCTTTACATTGGAGTTCACTGGGATTGCTTCCTTTACATTGGAGTTCACTTGGAATTTCTAAGCTAGGTACTGTTTAACTCTACTGGGAATTTCTAAGCTTGGTACTGTTTTGTGAAGGTCCTTGTGGGTGAGTATGTATCATTTGGAATGTATAGAAGGAAAGACGTAGAAGAATCTTTGAAGGAGCATGCTTGGAGATTTCAACTCTAAACTCCAAAATTCTAGCTATGGCAGCTGAATGGACAAAAATCATAAACAAGAAAGATTTGTATGTTAGATCAACTCATCCTAAACCCCTGCGATGTGTCCAAGCTGTCTATTGATCCTTGTATGACGCAGGCAATAAGGACCTCCCCACCACTACATTGCCTCAAATTAATTTTGATGGTACTTCACTAAGAAATCCGAGTCCTGACTGGTTTTGGTGGATTAATTTGAGATCCAACTGGTTTTGGTGGATTAATTTGAGATCACACAGGTAAAATTTTAATATCTTACTCAAGATCCTGAGGTGTGACCTATGTTAATTAGGCTAAGGCCAGAGCAATGCTACAAGGTTTAAAGTTAATTTCGATGTTGGAAGGCCACAAAAATATTGAGGGTGATTCAACTAATATTATAGCTTGGAGTAAGATAGATGCTTTGCCACCTTGGAGACTACGGTCCATTTTAAAATGAAATCAGAAATCTTCTACCTGCCCCTTTCGGTCAAGCTCTGCCACTAGTTTAGGGAGGCTAATATGGAGGCAGATTAGTTTGCCGAAGGAGCTGTGCACCAACAATCCTCAGTGGTCACCAATTTCACTTAGTCCCTCCTGCTCTTCCTTTGTATACTGCATTTTGTACCTCTTTTATTTGAATGAAATGTTCAAGGTTAACGATCACAAAAAAAAAAAAAAGCAATGTCTATACCAAAATGACTACTTCGGATAAAAATAAACCAATTAAAAGCAATGTAACTCAACATGAATGAAAACCTTGTTACAATCTATAGAAATCCAGTCTCATTCCTTTATATCACAGAAATAAAATGACATAGGACCCATTGATCTTGAGTAATCAAAGTAAAATAACTTTTTACAAATTTTACTGGTAAACCTGTTCTTTGATAAGACAAACATTAGATGTACGCGAATGCATGTGTGAAATTTTGAAAACTTTCGTCCAACATGATCAGATATAAGAAGCAGACTTTGGAACCAAGCATGTACAAATACGCCAATGAAGACCATAAAAAGAAGCCGCATTATCTCTTTTCATACCTCACGTCCCAGAGGGACAATACCACCATTTCAAAGACAGCAATTACAGTGACCGCAAAAAGCATTTCCTGAATATACATAAATACAAGAGCACATGACCATAGAGATTGGGAATCAGGATATCGCTTTCAATTCCCAGATCTTTATGTACCCATCATCACTCGCTGAGGCTAGAATTGTGGGCACCTGATCATATTGAAGTGCAATTAGAAGGCAAAACCCTAAAATTCCAGAAAAAAAAATATTTGTTTCTTTTTTCTCATGTCATCTCGTGTGAAAATTCATTAAGGGTAAAAAAAAGGACTTGAGGAATAATTTTGGTAAAGAAGACATACCTTGGGGTGCCATTGTACCGAATTCACATCCATGCTATGGACTTTCTCTTTCTTACATATCATGTTATAGGATGGACCATTAACCTGCAGGTGCTTTACATGAGAACCACTATCAGTTTCATGCTTGTATTTAGACTGATTACTATAATACCAGAGACATTGATGGTTTCTTTTGTTTTGGTAAGTCAATGGAGATATGAGCCCCTACTTGACATTGATGGTTTTATACTACACAGTGTTTCAAAAAGCGGACTGCGCAGCACCTGGGAGGCCGCCTAGGCAGTTCTAGGGGCCTGGGAGATGCCCCCAAAAACCAAAAAAAGCTGAAAACCCTAGGCTCCCAGGAACCCGCCCAGGGATTGTGCCGTGCCCAGAGGAGGAAAAGGCACTCAATAGGGGCATTTTTGTCATTTTTTTTATACTAAGGGCCAAAAATGTGGTTTTAGATTCATTTGAAACTTAAAACTCATTAAAGCCCATTTTAGAGAGAGAGCGCCCCCAAACAAACTAGTTTTTTGTGATTTCTTTATGATCGGAGGGTTTCTCAATTTACGAGAAATTGATCAAAACATCACCTATTGATATTAGATTTAATTTTTGATGTTTTATAAATCTATTGGGGGTTTTTAGAAGATTTTGAGTCCTTAAAAGCATCTTTAAGGTAGAAGTTTATAGATTGAGCAATCAGTGATTTTTTTTATTGCTTGTATAAGTTGTATTATTTTGAGATGTCTTCTTTGAGATCTAATAGGAGTGATGATCCTTGTTGGAAATATGGCTACAACCCATATCGTAATGATAAAAATTACATAAGATGCAAGTTTTGTGAGAAGGATACAAAATGGGTATAAACCGGTTCAAGAAACATCTTGCCAGTATCAGGGGGGATGTTGCCCATGTAAAAAGACTCCTGATGCTGTTAAAGAGGAAATAACCAACTTTTTTAGTATGGTAATGAAAAAAGATGAGAGATTGCCTCCATAGCAGAAATTAGGTAGAAGCCTCGGGTTAAAGGCCCTATGGATAGTTTTTTGCCCCAGCCTGACTCAGAAGTTACAGGAGAGAAAACAAAGAAGCAAACCACCATTGAAAATAGAATAAAGGAAGAGAGAGATATAGCTGCTTTTTATATTGCTACATGGTTTTATGAGGCGAGCAATTCCTTTCAATACTGCTCACCTAAGCAGCTTCTATGCCTTGGTAGAGGCAATTAGCCAATTTGGGCCTGGGATGAAACTCCCAACCCCATATGAGCTGTCGGAGCCTCTTTTGTAAGAAGCAGTGAGTATCACGAAGGAAGCTGTCGAAGTTAATAAGGATGCATGGGCTCAATATGGAGTTTCTATTATAATTTATACTTGGAGTGATAGGAAAAGAAGAAGTCAGATGAATTTACTTGTGAATTGTCCATTAGGGACTGTTTTTTTGATGCATCTGATTATACCCATGATACCCATTACATATTCCAAGTTATAGAGAAGGGAATCAAGGAGGTTGGGGAGTATCTTGTTGCACAGACAATGTTGCTCCTAATGTTGTTGCAGCTAATTTGTTGCGCATAGCTTATCCTAGAATCTTTTGGACACCATGTGCAGCACATTGAATAGACCTCATGCTTGAGGCTCTTGACGGTTTAATCGAGATATCAGGTGCAGTGAAGAAGGCAAAGTCAATTACAAATTTCATTTATAGCCACCATCTCACCCTGACCTCAGCATGATGCGTAGATTTACAAAGAAGAAAGAGATTGTGAGGCCTGGGGTCATGAGATTTGCGACCTGGTACTTATGCCTAGATAGCATACATTCGAGGAGAGTGCAGCTGAAGCAGATGTTTACCTCGGGGGGATGACTGGAGAGCATGCAAGTAGTCCAAGGATCAGTTGGGAAGAAGGTGAGAGATATTATCCTTTCTAAGGCTTTTTGACGAAGAGTGAAGGGCGCCCTTAAAATATTTTTACCTCTTGTTAAAGTCGTTCGCATGGTTGATAGTGAAAAGGCTTCTATGGGCTACATATATGAGGCCATAGAGAAATGCAAAAGAGAGATAGCTCAAAATTTTGATGATGATGAGAACCGCTACAAAGCTTGTTTCGGAGATTATTGATGAGAAGTGGGATAGGCAGCTACATCGACCATTGCATGAAATTTGTTATTACTTGAACCCAGCTTTTTTTTATGTTGACAAGGATATACACACAAATGACACAATTATGACTGGATTTAATAAGTGTGTAGATGTGCTAGTCCCAGCTCCTGATATCCAGAATATTATATGCGCTGATGAGCTGTACTCATTAAAGTCTTTTAGGAGTCCAATGGTAATGAGGCAAAGGACCAAAATTGATCCAGGTAGTAATAATATTCTTAAGCTCATAAAGTTTAATTAATCAAGTTTCATTTTTATAATTCTATTATTTATTTATGATTTTATTCTATATCTTTGCAGCCAATTGGTGGAGCCAACATGAGTGTAGTTCTCCAAATTTACAAAAGTTGGTCATTTGGATCTTAAACCTAACCACTTCCTCATCCGGTTGTGAGCGCAATCGGAGTACTTTTGAAGGGGTAAGGCCGTAAAGATAATTTGTATAATTGTATTAATAATACATGAACCATTGATTTTAATTAGTTTCATTTGATTTTGTTAGATTCATACAAAGAAAATGAACATGCTTGAATCAAAGAAGCTCAATGACCTAGTCTATGTCAAGTATAATCGATTCTTGAAGGACAGGTTTGCTAAGAGAGATAAGAGAGACCCCATCAGATCAAAAAATATGGACAATGCTATGGAGTGGTTAGTTGATGATGATGAGGTCAAGGGGTATGAAGGATTGACATGGGACATGGTCATGGATGCTTCAGGGTAATCAGCCGACCCTCCTAGGGCCACTAGATCTTATGCACAAAGGACGACGGTGCAGGAAGAGGAGGAACAAGAGCCAGATTCAGAAGAGACAGAGGAGGACCACCAATATGTCGAGGAGGGTGACAACTCCGATGAATATGATGCAAATACAGTTGACCCTATTTTTTCTGATGATGAATACGATACAAATGCAGTTGACCTTACTTTTTTTGATGATGAATGATGAATAATGATTAAACTTTGAACTTTGAACTTTGAACTTTGAGCATTGAACATTGATTGAAGATTCTTTTGAGTCTTCAAGCATTATTTTCATTTTTGTTTTCTTCCTCTTGGTTGTTGTGGATAGAGGATTTGCAGTTCCATAGTTCACTGGTTTAGTATTTGGTAACTTTGGTTTGGTAATTTGGTTGATAAATTTTAAGTTTTAATTGGATATGGAGTTATAAAATATGGACCGACTTATGGTTATGTTCATGGACTGTGTGCTAATGTTTAGTATACTTTGAATTCTGATGTGTCCTAAATACCTAATTCTTATATTTTATACAATATATATACTATTAGAGAATGTAGAATCCTTTTTGGATTCAATTGAGCGCTGGGTGGCTTGGACCCTCAAACCGCCTAGCGCTTTTTGAAACACTGATGCTACATTTTCAGGATATTGGATGTTCTTTAGTACTTTTTTGGGATTGATAGATCTAGAGATGTCGCACCCAGTACCGTGGGAAAGAGGCTAATGAGGTAATTCCCATGTTGGTTTATGAAGGGGGCCTTAGGGTGAATATGTGGGACACTAGTAGTGATACATATATACTTGCTCCAGATGTTTTTATTTTATTTTTTTGGGTAATTCAGTAGGGATGATGAGCCCCAACCCATTTTTGAAATCGTTAGTGGTTTTTTAATGTGTTAAGTGAGAATGAAAGCCTAGACCTTAGCTACATGGTACCACTACCACGGCCCCAAACCCATTCTCACTTGCTAGATTAGTATATGTACTTATTCTCAATATAGATCTAATTCTTGAATGAAGAACTTAAGTTAACCTTTAAGCAAGCACATAATTTATAATTCCTACAAAGTAGACTACAATAACAGATAATAATTTCAGTAGAACAAGAAAGGAAGGAGTATAAGACCACATCACTAGGGATCTCTTTAAAAAGTCGTATAGTATCATCCCCCGCTCCACTAGCAATGACACCATCCCTACCAAAAACAAGAAAGAACTTATTGTGATTGCTATGATTTTCATGGAATAATGTAAGTTCAACAAGAAATAGTATATCGATGGAGGACCAATTTTATGAAACTTCTCAAGCTATTTATCGTCACCCTAGAAATAATGTAGAAATGGAACATGTCTTGAGAAAAAGAAATTGAATAAATTTCATACCCATTATGCTTCCAGCAGGAGCCAATGAATTTATGGTAGTATTCTTTTCCAGATTTTTTACCATTTTTATCAGTAGCATAAAATGTGTCATTTCCACTGAATTCTACCTTATCGTATATGAAACATCTGGGAAAATCTATGGGATTACTTACTACCTTGACCAATGCACTGAGAATATTGTACGATCATGATATCCTGACAGTGTGCAAAGATGCCTCCTAAAACAACCAAAGAATTCCAACGTTATTGGTAAAGATGCAATTAATCCATGCACCATGATGGATTCATAAAATGCAAATATGTGTATCTCTACTTCTAAACAAAAATGAGAACGCAATCCTGACTAAAGAAGCCCAAAAAGTAACAATTCTTAACAATAGAACTTTAAGGGTGCAAGCGTATCCATAGTCTTTCCAAAAACCAATATAGATAGATAATTAAATTAAATGATACACAAAATAGATCATTATGAAAATTTCACTAGTAAATAACAGTTTAGAGACTTCAGCAAACCACAGTTAGAACATGCAGAAACAGTAAGAACAACGAAATTCAAGGAAAGCACTGGCAAACAAATTTGGAAATGAAAGATCGCTAAATAAGCATCAAATAAGCGCATCCATGAACTTGAGCACATTTTATTACAAAAGAAAATACCCATTCAACTACAACAAATAAGAACGCAAAATAGCTTTCCAATACATGTGGCCAAAACAATTATGGGCAAAATAGAAAGATGACCACCAACGAAACAAGACACACAAACATGAAGTCCACATCGATGGAAAACGAGTAGAGCTTACAAGCATCAAACATTTAAATATAACTCGACCATAACTTGTGAAGTGGAAGCATATGAAAGACAAAAAGTCATTACATGACAAACAAACCTTAACTCATGTTTATAGGCATTGAATAAATAATGACGACTAAAAAACACTATAATGATATATAGCCAACACAAGGACAAAAGCTACAGAAACAGACCAGTGATAATGCTGTAGTTTTTTTATGTTCCTAGCCCAAATATTGAAAATGGCTAACAAATTGAGAAAAGCTTTAGTACTGAAGTGTACCAACACTAAATAGCAGACGTTTGTCTTAAATAACCAATCTTCCATAGCATGGCAAATAGTTAAGTGCATGAAAATTACTAGAAACGGGCAATATAAGCTTTTACTTTGAAAGTTCTTTTCTTAGAAAAAATAAAAATAAAAATATATTGAAGGTATTATTTACTACATGGATTACAACCAGTGATCTATGTTGAGTCCCATCTCAAGTTCTAGATGACTGTCACCGCCAGTGCTTGCTCCAAGGAGTCAAAGAGAGGTCATGTATGTTTTTAAGTTGGGTGTCCATATGGCAATATATTTTCAAATTTGCATTTTAACCCTTAAAAGTATCATTCATGAATAAAGGAGCAGCTTGATCCCCAAAATAAACAGCCCACAGTTGTTATAAAAAAGAACATATTCTTGCATAAATCAAACTAGAGTAATAAGCCAGTATACCCCAAATCAGAATATTTCCAGCACAATATAAAATCAAATTGTAGGATAAGAATAAAATACTATTAAGTGAGCATGCAACATCACCATAATCCAGAACTATCACTGCCTGACGCTGTTAAATCAAGGGAAGTGTCCCATATCTTTAAAGTCAGATCGTCGCTGCAAAACAGTCATATGTTAAATAACAATAAAATTTGTTTATTGTTAAATAAACATAATAAACTGTTATTATGTTTTTCCACATTGATGTAAACAAGGAAGATTTCATCCTTACCTGCATGTGACCATTTTGTCCCCAGTGGAGTTGAAAGATACTGCCCATACGGTAGATGAGTGTCCACTAAAAAGAATTAGAACCCATTAAATTGAGAAACAAAAAAGAAAAGAACCTAGAATTACTTCAGTATAAAAGACAACATAGATTAAAAGATCACATCAGTGAAATATGCAGTAATACAAAGCTTACATAAAACAATAGAAAAGAAAATGTCTACAGCAGTTGTGGACTTCTCCAATAATGACACCACAATTCAAGTCCTAGATAGCATATTATCGCACCAAATAAAAGATTGATCTTTTTTCTTTTTTCTTTTTCAGAAAAACACTTTAAAAGACAGTTAAATGGATATCTCACGAAGATTCATTACCTGAATGAATCACCTAATGTTTGCACACAGTGCCAGTCATCACTTTCACCATCCTCTGCCCAAATCTGCCAGCATAGATAATAGACAGAGAAGCAACTAGATTCAGAAAACTTTAACTGCTCCATAAGCATGCATAGACAGATTATTTAAGTTTAATCAATAAAAATACCATTCAAATAGAATGAAGACAGTCTCAAACCTTGATAGTGTTATCATAACTAACAGAAACTAGAAGGTCAATTGATGGATGCCAAAGAACCATTTTCACATCTTGTGTATGTCCTTGTAAAACCGACACACACTCAAATTCATGTCCAGGCTGCACTTCCCAGATCCAAACAGATTTATCTCGACCACAAGTTGCAAGCAGAGAACCAGATGAGTTCCAGCATACACTCTTAACTTCATTTTCATGACCCTAAATATAACAATAACAAAAGCTAATAAGAAGGATCCACTAGAATTAAATCCCATGCAAAACATACTTTCTAGTTTTAGAGGACCATACCTCCAATGTAGCAACACATTCAAAATCATCACCAACATTTTCCCATATTGCAGTTGTGGCATCAAAACTTGCTGTGGCCAACATTTTTCCAGATGGTGACCATGCGCAAGACCTAACAGTTCTAGTATGAGTTTCGTCCAAAACAGCCTAATAAGAAGTTGCGACAGAGCAAACATAAGTTAATAATCTAGACACTGGCTAAAAAACAAATAACTGACCCTAAATTCCCATAACTTAGCATAACATATAAATTAAACATTGGAAGGTACTGCATTTGCTGTACTGATTAGTATCTTAGCATAGAACCTGCTAATGATGCATTAAGTAGGTCTTCAATCTAAATGGAAACTTCTATAAAAAACTAAACATTGCAGACAAACTTATGTTTCCAAGAACCATACAGTGTTGCTCCTTCCTTTGTCACTATAGCCTTCCCATATTGTTCTGATTTTATTGTGTCTCATTCAATGTTAACAAACTTGGCTTGGGCTCAGGACTCAGCCCCTGCTCGAGCTGAGTAACTTGGCAACTCGCCTTGTCCAGCAAGAGCCTAAAACAGCTAAAACAAAGGGCAAAAATAACCAAAAAAATGAAAAAAAAATAATTAAAAATTGTCAAAAAGCAAAGAAGTTATAAACATTATTAGAAGTCTATAAAAGATGGAAAAAAAAAGTATATAGAAGATGGATTATGAAAAGAATTCATTATAAGGAATGGGGTTGAGGTCAAGGTGGTAGCACCATCTGTGACTCCGCTACCGGTCTATGTTTCCATTCCTACCAATGCTATTTGAAAACGACCAGCGGTTTCAAAAATTGCTAACCCACTACTAACAGTTATCGTTAAAAAAACAAAAACAAAAAAAAGAATTGATTTATATCTTAAAACAATTTAGAAAAATCCAAAACAAGGGCAAAATAGAAATTTAGAGTATATAATAAGTAAAACTCACAAATCACATAAACGACATAAATTATATTGAAGGGGAAATATCCTTGTACCCCTTATTTTTAGTTTTCATACCTCAATAGACCCAAAGATTCAAAATATATCTCCTAACCCCCTGACTAACTTTACCCACTTTTAACTATTTGTTTAGCCCTAACAAATATAAAATAGACATGCTCAATCTAAACCCTTCCTCTCTTTACATGATATATTCTCCCCAAATTTTTCTCTCTCTCTAACATTCACCCATTTTGTCTCTCTAACGCTGAGAGAGAGAGTGAGAGACACGGGGGAAAATAGGTAGAGAGAGAGATTTAGGAGAAAATCACGTGAAGAGAGAGAAAGGATGGTGTTTAGAAAGGATACGTCTTTCTTATATTTGTTTGGGGCAAAAATAGGTTTAAAAGGGATAAAGTTAACTTAGGGGGTTAAAAGATATAAAACTCAAACTTTTTATGACCCAAGATATGTTTTGAAACCTCCTTGGGTCTATTGAGATATAAACTTAAAAATGGGGGGTATGGAGATATTTTTCTAATATAAAAATATATTTATATTTCACAAATTAATGATTTAGTAACAAATTTTATATTTTCACTTTATTTAATACAAATATTTTGTCTTGAAACACTGGTTTCAATGGAAAATGCAAAAGGTTGCACATGCACTCAGATAAAAGCTTTCAAGATAGGGTACTGAAGAGGCTTTGAACAAGGTGAAAAGTAATTTAACCTTGAGTTCATATGGGGCAGATATGGCCATTGAGATCATTTTATCTCCCAAAAAGGATCATAGAACTGACCCACTTATGGATGTATGCACCCCAATGGAGAACCTAAACGCTATCTGGAAAAATAAAGCAACTATAATTTAAAGAAAGTTTAGTAAAATGCATTGTATTTTTTAAAAAACATATTTATCTAAAATTCTTATAAGATTAAGATCTAAAATCAGACTGCATCTCAAGGTGTCAAAAGCATCAAAGTATTGGATACAAGTCAGAGACCAACATAGAGATGGCGTTGTTGATTTATATAAATTTCTTTAGAACCCCATGATGGGTTCATGTGTAATCCTTGCCCATTCTTCACTTCCTCAAAACCAATCTTAACTCTTGAGCTTCCTGAACTCAAAAAGGAAAACGTACAATCAATCTAGCAAAAAGATAAGGTTGCAATTCGAAACCCTGCCAAACTTTTTTCTACGTATTTCATGGTTTCGAAATCTGTATTTACTGGGGATATCTTTTCTATGCTTTTTGGATTTCAGACGAAATTTGGAACTTGCTAAGTCTTTTCCTCCAGAACTGTAGTCAATTGACAAAAATTTCTGAAATTCTACCTTTTTTATATTTCAATTTAAATGTTCTCTCCACAAAGGACAAGTTTATACAATTTAATCCAAAAATCAAAAGTCCAGCTTTGGCTCTTGAAGAAATAAAAAATGAAGCGCCGATTGAGCAAAGAAATTCCCAAGCATACTCGAGTCGCGCAGTTTTAATGAACAAACATTGTCAATCGTCTGAAATATAAATGTAAAAGTTGCCCAGAATTGGCTAAAATTAATATCTTAACGATCATGACAGAAGATCAAGACCAGTTTCACCCCATTCAACCACAAACAACAAACAATACAATTCAGTATCAATCATCAAATTCCAATTTGATTGGCCCAAAAATCAGCAAAAAATCATTTTGAACGCATTTCACAAGAAAATTATACACACAACCAAATACACTCCGTAAATCACCTAACTTGACTAAATTACCGACCCACAGATAGTCTCATTAACCATAAATAAAAAATAAAAATAAAAATTAGGGCTTTAGAAATACAACCAAAACAATTACCTTGCACTCCCATGAACCAGTTGCAGCAGCCTGTTGCCAAATTCTAACCGTCTTATCTCCACTACAAGAAGCAAGCACCGAAGGAACCCCAGCAAGACCAGTAACAGGGTTCCAAGCCAATCCCCAAACCCTATCAGTGTGACCCTCGAGCTTCTGCACCTCCTTCAATTCAAAGTTACAGTCAAGGCCCACAGTCCCTTCATTCTCCATTATAAAGATCAGATCCTTCAAGCCCTGGTCCTTCAAAGCTCAAAGAAACCAGGGGTGGTTCAACAAGCCCAAGAAATTAGCGTTTCGGGTTTGTATCACGAGCCTGCAGCAAGAGGCTGGGTGTATTGAAGCAGTGAGCAAGCTTTCATACTGATCGGCAACTGGACTAGGGTTTGTATAGGAGGGATTGATGGAGACTAGCGCGTGGGAAAATGAGTTCCTATTTGTTGGAGTCACGTGGGCAACACGTGCATTTGTACCACTGGTTCCTCTTTTTGGGTTTTCCAATTTTCTCCTTAATCAAAGGTAAGTTTATTAGGGTTGTTCCAGTTATTTTGGGGGATGGCAATAAAGTATGCCATTTGGTGTGATCCTGATCCGTATCATATACGAATTACGTGGTCATGTGATTCATCACCGTCCCTTGAATGGATTGGTTGTGTTCTGATATAAAAATGCATGCTTGCAATGTTAGTTGGGCCAATTTTAAATATGGAATTTGCCTCTTGTGTCGAGTATTTTATTTTCGAATTTGAATTGATTCTCAATTCCAAATTGAATTTTCTGAAAGGAAAATTGTTTCAAGCTGCGGTCCCCGCATATTTACATTTCCGCTCCTTGAGGTATAAAGCATCTATCTTGGTCCATCTAAAAATATTTGAAAATAACGGTTCAAATGCTTTCTTAATAGAATTATTATTTTAAATTTTTTTTCATTTTTATGATCTACATATTAGAGATTACATATCTTTAAAAATTAGATCCAAAAATCCATCTCAAAAATAAACTTTTATGATGCGACTCATTTCTACATGGACTAATAGAAGCCCTATCCGTTCGGTAATACTACTTGGATTTACTTTTTCAAAAACCCTTTCTCTATCTCTCTTGAGACAAATCAAGTACACATCCTAATTATTTAATGATATTAACCATGGCAAAGCTTTTTATGTTTTTCCTACAACATCAAATTTTTGTGCTTTCCCCTATCCAACCTTCCATTATGAATGGACGGTTGAGATGCCCCCAATCACAATGTCACGTTTTTACATTATTTTATTTTTTGCTTGTTTTTACAAAATATGTTGACACCAAATTTTGAGCATCCCCTATGTTAAACTCACATCAGTAAAAACAATAAAAAAAAATATTCTCAATTAAATAAAATAACCAAAGTACCCCTAAAAGTTTTAAAGGATATTGTGGTTATTATATTTTATCAAAAATTTATTTTTAATAGTTTTATAGGTGTGCCCTATTGAGATGATGGCATGCACCAAATTTTATATTTTAGAGAAATTATCGCTAATATACCCAAATTTTAGTAAAACTAGAAAAAAAAAAAAAACCTAATTTTCCAAAACCTTGCCCACACCCTTTTTCCCCATTTTGGCTTTTTTTTTATGAAATTACCCTTAACGGTAGAAAGACTACCATTATATATTGCGTTACTATTACGGTACAAAAACTACCGTAATAGTTGGAATTTACGTTATGGTAAAGAGAGTACCGTAATATCTTATGTTTCAATTACAGTATTCTTAATATCGTAATTCCTTTTGATTTTATTATGGCAATCATATTGTCGTAATTATTTGGCACATATAAACCCCTAACCGAAACCTTATTCTCTCATTACGGTCTGTGAACCCTATAAAGGCTGATTACGGTTTTCCTTCTGTCGTTGTCCGTGAACCCTAGAAAGGCTGATTCTGATTTCCTTCAGCCGTTACAGAGCTCTGTCCCTCATCACAGGTATGTGTCTTTGTCTGGATTTATTTCACGCTTTCGAGTTATATAGAATTGTTATTTTTGTGATGTAAAATTGATCTAAATAGATTTTGGACGAAATTGAAAGATGAAAATTTGGGTTTGTTTTTTTTTACTTTATGATAGATGCCCTAAAAAAAACGAAACAATAAATTATTAGTGAATTATCAGTGACAAGAATTACATCCAAATAACTCTGTATATAAAATTTTCTTACAATATGGAATTATTCCAAGTTTATAAAACTATTAGTTCTGTTATATAAAATCGATTTAAATAGGTTTTGGATGAAATTGAGAGATCATCCAAATTTTGGATTTTTTTTTAGGAAATTGTTCTTGAATATGTGGATTATTGAGTTTTTAGCTTTGATTTCATAGGACATTCGTGTTTTTACTGTATTAGCAGCGATCTACAAACAGGTATCAAAATTTTATTTGAAGTTCTTTAGATAATTGTATCAGCCCTGATTTTATTGGATATTCATATAATTGTTCTTGAAGTTGTATCATCAAAATTTTATTTGAAGTTTTTCTCTTGTCGATTTGTGATAATTGAGATCTCTTTTACATTGTGTCACCTAGAAGACACTAGTCCATCAAGTTGGATTCAATGTTTAGGAGCTGATGTATACAATATTGATCATTGATTTCTGTCTCCCCCTCATATATAAAATTCTGATTATGATGTTATGTTTTTCAAGCATTTGTGCCCCAATTTGTTAATCACAAGCATAGGGAGAATTATTGTTTGAAGTTTGAAGTTTTTCTTTTTTGGATTTGTGATAGTTGCGATCTCTTTTACTAGTGCCACGTAAAAGACACTAATCCATCAGGTTGGACTCAATGTTTAGTAATTTATTTATACAACATTGATCATTGATTTATGTCTCTCCCTCATTTGTAATTTCCACTGTAACTTGTACAACCACCATCCACTAATAGTATTAATGATTACTCTTCAGCTTTTTGAACAATAATAATGATTTATGATGGCTTTTTGAGCAGTGAACATGGCAAAAGATGCACTCTTCCCTGGAGATCCTCAAATTCCTATATTGTTTACTAGACAGGGAGAACATATATTACAAAAGATCTGGGAAGGAGATATATATACAAGTATTTAAAATTATATTCTTTGTCTATCATGTTAGTTAGTCAATATATTTATTTTAGTATTGAAAATCACAAATTCTATTTTAGGATCGAGAAAATATTCTGGGGATTGTTGAGAAGCCCAATGCAAATTCTTCACGGTTGTTAACAAACAATGGTCAAAATGATTTGGTCAGGAGATCAGGATCGTATCCTCTGACCATAGTATCGTTGAATAAGTATGACCGCGGCACATTATCTATAATTATCGAGAGGTAGTGCGTAGAGACGAACGCGAGGCACTTCAATATAGACAACGAAGAGATGATGTCTACCCTTGAAGATACATGAAAAATCCTCCGGTTAAAGGTGACTGGTGTAGCTGTAACCTTGAGGAGAGTGAAAAACTATGAGGATTATATAGTTTGCATGATAAGACAGTTGTCACTTAGTAGTAGCCATTCCATTATGCGGCTGACATGGTTGAGGAACACGTTTAAGAGGCTACCACAGAACTATAACCACATCACTCTTCTACGATACACCCGTGCCTACCTCTTATATCTAGTCGGGTGCATAATATTTGCATATTCTACAAATTGTACGGTTTCTAATATGTATGTACTACTTTTTGAGGATATGGACGTAGCTGGTCAGCATGCATGGGGTCCAATTGCGTTAGATTTTTTGTATCGAGCCTTGTCAAAGGTTATTCGTCCTGATCATCAACATCTAAATGGATCAACTACTCTTTTGCTGGTAATGGTAGTATATTAATGTTTTTATATTTTTTATAAAGTTCGATAGATATTTGTTGTTGTGATTCTTATTTTTTTATACATGCATTTTAGTATTGGGTTTATGAGCATTTCAACTTGTTGTACCCAATTTCCAAAGAGATAAGGGCAAGGCAACCTAGATCCCTCAGGTGGGTCCCTCCTAGAGAACGAGATAACACTCATAACTTCAGTCTCCTGGGGCGACAGGAGATTGATATCACACCAATAAATGATGTTAGTATAGTATAGTTATAATTATTTTGTTTATTTATAATTTAATTAATTTTAGGTACAGGTTATTTATATTGAAATTTGTCTCATTTTTATCATAGGTCATCTGGACCCCATACGGTGATTATTCTGACATATGAGAAGAAACTACAAAGGATAGAGATTATGGGTTTCGTGTCTGTCAGACTGCTTTGTGTCGCACAAACCTCATATGTGGACACATCTGTGAGGGATATATGCCAGATCGTGTGCTCCTACAATTTGGACTTGTGTCCTGACATGTGAAGTCCAAATTGTCGGAGCACACGATCTGGCATATACCCCTCACAGACGTGTTCACATATGAGGTATGTGTGACACAAAACAATATGGCGGACACAAAGTCTATAATATTTGTCCTCTATAGTTTCCTCTCCTATGTCAAGATAATCATAATATGGAGTCCAGATGACCTATGACAAAAATAAGATAAATAACATGTACCTAAAATTAATTAAATTATAAATAAAATAAATAAATTATAACTATAATATACTAACATCATTTATCCGCGCGTTATCAATCTCCTGTTGAACCACGATTTGTAAGTGTTATCCCATGCTCTAGGAGGGGCCCACTTGAGGGATCTAGGTTGCAATGCCCTTTTTTCTTTGGGAATTGAGAGCAACAATTTGAAATGCTCGTACGTCCAACACTAAAATGCATATATAAAAAAATAAGAATCACAGCAACAAATATCTATCGAACTTTATAAAAAGTATCAAAACATTAATATACTACCATTACCAGCAAAAGAGTGGTTGATTCACTTAGATGTTGATGATTAGTACGAACAACCTTTGACGAGGCTCGATACAAAAAAGCTAACACAAATGCACCCTATGCATACTGACCAGCTACGTCCATATCCTCAAAAAGTTGTAAATACATTGTAGAAACCGTACCATCTGTGGATTCCACAAATATTGTGCACCCGACTAGATATAAGAGGTAGGCACGAATGTATCGTAGAAGAGTGATGCGGTTATAGTTCTGTGGTAGCCATGAACCATATCAGTCGGATAATGGAATGGCTACGATTAAGTGGCAGTTGTCTTATCATGCAAATTATATAATCCTCGTAGTTCTCCACTCTTCTCAAAGTTACAGCTACAACATTTACCTTTAACAAGAGGATTTTCCATGTATCTTCAAGGATAGGCATCATCTCTCCGATGTCTACATGGAAGTGCCCCGCGTTCGTCTCTACACGCCACCTCTCGATAATTGTAAATAATGTGCCGCGGTCATACTAACTCAACGATACTATAGTCAGATAATACAATCCTGATCTCCTGACTAAATCAATTTGATCGTTGTTTGTTAACAGCCATGAAGAATTTGCATTGGGCTCTTCTCATCAATCCTAAGGGTATTTTTTCGATCCTAAAATAGAATTTGTGATTTCAATTACTAAAATAAATATATTGATTAACTAATATGATAGACAAGTAGTATAAATTTAAATACTCATACATACATCTCCTTCCCAGATCTTCTATGATATATGTTCCTCTGTCTAGTAAGCGATATAGGAATTTGAAAACCTTTAAAGAAGGGTGCATCTTTTGCCATGTTCACTGTCCAAAAAGCCAAAATAAATCATTATTACTGTTCAAAAATTCAAAGAGTATTCATTATTACTATTAGTGGATGGTGGATGTGCAAGTTACATTGGAAATTACAGATGAGGGAGAGACATAAATCAAAGATCAATGTTGTATAAATAAATTACTAAACATTGAGTCCAACCTGATGGATTAGTTTCTTCTACTCGACACTAGTAAAAGAAATCGCAACTATCACAAATCCACAAAAGAAAACTTCAAACTTCAAACAATAATTCTCCATATACTTGTGATTAACAAATTGGGGCATAAATGCTTGAAAAACATAATCTCACTATCAAAATTTTACATATGAGGGGGAGGCAGGAATCAATGATCAATATTGTATACATCAGTTACTAAACATTGAATCCAACCTGATGGACTAGTGTCTTCTAGGTGACACAATGTAAAAGAGATCTCAACTATCACAAATCGACAAAAGAAAAACTTCAAATAAAATTTTGATTACTTCTTCAAAAACAATTATATTAATATCCAATAAAATCATGGCTAATACAATTATCTAAACAACTTCAAATAAAATTTTGACACCTCTTTGTAGATCGCTACTAGTACAGTATAAACGCGTATGTCCAATGAAATCACAAATAAAAACTTAATAATCCAGATATTCAAGAACAATTTGCCCCAAAAAAAAAAAAATCCAAATTTTGGATGATCTCTCAATTTCATCCAAAAACTATTTAAATCGATTTTATATAACAAAACTAGCAGTTTTATAAACTCAAAATAATTCCATATTGTAAGAAATTTTATATACAAAGTTATTTGGACGTAGTTCATGTCACTGATAATTCACTAACAATTCATTGTTTCTTTTGTTTTAAGGCATCCATCATAAAGCCAAAAAAAAACAATTCCAAATTTTTATCTCTCAATTTCATCCAAAATCTATTTAGATCGATTTTACAATTCAAAAATAACAATTTTATATAACTCGAAAACGTGAAATAAATTCAGACAAAAACACATACCTGTGATGAGGGACAGAGCTCTATAACGGCAGAAGGAAAACCGTAATCAGCCTTTCTAAAGTTCATGGACCGTAATAAGAGAATAAAGTTTCGGTTAAAGGTTATAGGTGCCAAACAATTATAGCAATATGATTGCCGTAATAAAATCAAAAGTAATTACGGTCTGAATAATACTGTAATTGAAACATAAGATATTACGGTACTCTTTTTACCGTAATATAAATTCCAACTATTCCGGTAGTTTTTGTACCGTAATACTAACACAATGTATAACGGTAGCCTTTCTACCGTTAAAGGTAATTTTGTCAAAAACAAAAATCAAAATGGAGAAAAAAAGTGTGGGCAAAATTTCAAAAAATTAGGGTTTTTTTTTCAATTTACCTAAAATTTAAGTACATTAGCAATAATTACCCTATATTTTATAATTTGTAAAAAAAAAAATCAAAATAAAACACTACTTGGCATCTGATCTAAATCAAACGTTTAGCGGCTCACTGAATCTAAATTCGATGGCTGGATGGGTGGAAAGCATATATGTATAATAGGGTTTATTATGCATGCACCCAATTTGCTGTGATTTTACTTTCTACAAAAATTGCCCATTTTTTGGATTCTGAAGATCTTGTAAATTTTTTAATCTTCAAAAACTGGAATATTATTTTCCCTCCCCAAATAAAACTACTCTCTCTCTCTCTCTCTCTCTCTCCAACTCTACATTCTCGCCTTTACTACTACTTTCCCTCTTCCCCTGACCCTGTGCTTCCCCTCTCTCCCCATGCTTTCCCAAATTCTTAATGCTGTGTATTTCTCACCCTTTCGGTCCATCTACATAGCCAATCCTAATATTATTTCCCACACAAATCAAACCACTATTCTCTCCCCCAAATCTAAGCGCCAAATCCAACTAATCACCCTCCATCTACACAAGCTCAAATTCTCTCCCCACGAAGCTCTCTCCACATCCATCCTAATACATGTTCCACATATTTTCCCTTCCAACAATTCAGACTAACATCCATCATCACAAATCAAAGGTAGCCCATCAGTCCAAGCATAGTTATACCTGGAACTATTATTTACCATCACATATCAAAAGAGAACCCATCAGTCCAAGTACAAGAATTAACACACAGGACTTAGACAGAGAGATAGTGAGCATAAGAAACCAGAGTCCAACAAAATAAAGCAGGAAAATTGTTTCATGCGGTCCGGACCACATGACTACATCTGCAGTCCAAAAAAGTGCTAAAAAAAAGTGTAAATCCATCGTAGTAGGTGTTCGATCTAAAAACAATGGATACCAACCGTCCAAATATCATTTTTAACTTTTAAAATTTACTTAATTTTAAGGACTTGTGATCTCTAACATGGAGAACATGAACATGAAAAAATAAGTCTAAAAATCCATCTTGAAAATAGACGTATTAATAGGCCCGTATTTCAACATACGCAGGCTTGGCCGTATAGAAACCGGGTCCAATAAAGCAGGAAAACATCATTCATACCACTAAATAGCACTACTGCTACTGTCCAAGCTCAAGTATACTACCTCGATCCTCTTATGTATTTATTTAAGAGAGGAAATCACCAGGCCAATTATAGAACAATACCACGAGGGAGTCCAAAGGGAGGGGAGGGAACCAACCCCTTCACCAACTTCCCAGAGAGAAGTTTCAAAACACAAAAAAAACTAAAACCAGCCATCTGAAGTAGAAAGTCTAACCCAAATCTCCATCCCAAACTCTGTAAACACATAACATGCCAACATAATACTATGGAATGTAGAAAGTCTAACCCAAATCTCCATCCCAAACTTCGTAAACACATAACATGCCATCATAATACTATGGAATGTCAAGGACTTCAAGCCTACTTGATTTTATACCGACATATAACCCAGCACTCAGCACCGCACCAAAATGTCATTAGACAAAACGTTTTGACTAGCCCCACTTTCCATCACCCACCAGAGTATATCAAGCTTTGCATCAACATGATCAAAGCTAAGCTCCGTCATTAGCCACTCCGCTGCCCATTATCTCCTGGCTCCAAAACCCATCAACCATAATCAGCAAGGGTTTCAATCGAGAGAGAACCAACATAGTCAAGAGAAAACCACAGAAAACAAATCATATCAGGGACAAAAAGAATCCAAGCTAACAAGTCAACAAAAGGTGAATGAGGAGAGGCAAACATGCTGGCTGGTTGTACACATCAAACCCATCAATCATTTGGACAAGGAAGGCAGGAAGACAATCAGAGAAAAATTTTATGGAAAAATTCAGCTTTATCCGATATATAGGCCACAAAGACAATCAGGTGGTAAACTGGATCAAAAACAAATCGCCTGACAAATCGCCTGACTTTGGTTTGATGGCAAGGAACATAAATGTGAATCTCAAATTAGAATATTGTACTTGGGTGGTTCTTCTTATTTGATTTGCCGGCAAGGAGCCTAAATGCGACTCTCAAATTAGAATATTGTACTTGGGTGGTTCTTTTTATTTGATTTGAAGGCAAGGAGCCTACATGCGACTCTCAAATTAGAATATTGTACATGGGTGGTTCTTTTTATTTCCATGAAGGAAACCCAAAACAGTCCCTGCCTAGCATACAGTTAGAGTTTAACCAAACCAAGTAAGTGAGGGGACGGAGGAATGCATCGAAAAGAAAGAGTTCCGGGAAGGGGGGGGGGGGGTGGGGAGGGGATGTATGATTGTTTATGCTCCAAAAGAGTGAGAAAGCTAAGAAAGAAAGAGGGAGAGAAGGCACCTTGTGTTCTGAAGATATTTCATGCATTACAACGTCCCGGACCGGCTGCATGGGGCGGCGCCAGTGCCCGGTGCCCCGGTGCACCAGCAAAACAGATGATTGTTATTCAGAGTCATCGTCAATCTCTCCTTCATCCGAAAGCTCATCAAAGGACCTCATATCGAGCTGGTACCGAAGAATACCACCAATACCACCAAAGCCCCTGCAAAACTGTGATCCCTCTTGAGACTTGTTGGTCACAAACTCCAAAGTGCACCCAAACTTCTTATACTCACTAGCAAACCACTCCAATAGTAAAGTCTTGTCCTGAACCTCCAACTCAGCTGAATTAGCTGGGTCCCTAAAATTGTTTTGATCTGCCTCTTGGTCCTTGCCCAAATGCTTTATGACTGTCTCCCCAGTCGCACTATTCTTCAATATATACCTGTTAATGTCCAAGTTTTCCCAAACAATTAGGGTTTCCACAGCACCCATCTCCAACGCCTTCAGTGTATCCTCAACCCCAAATACATATTTGCCGGTGTCTTGGCTAATCTCTTCAAAATACTTGCCTATGAGCTTCTTCTCTTGGATAAATTTCACATTGGAGAGGATCTCAGAAGAGAGCTCAATAGCCTGGTTAAACCCATTTTCCCCACCATAGGAAACATCAACCACGTTTAGTATCTTGGCTTGGAGTCGGGGATCGAACATGTCCGACTGGCTAAGCTCGGTTTTGAAGTCTGCAGACCCTGCAAGGATGAGGCCAGCAACATTGGGTTGGCTTATTGCTGGGTTTATGAAGAATTGAGTTGCAAGCTCAGCAGTTTTCCTAACATAATTGTGGCGCTTCTCCATTCGAAGTCTGGCAAAACGCAAGGCTGACTGTCCTCCTCTTCCATGCTTCTTAGGAAGATCCACAGTGAACTTATGGAGAACTTCTCGGGTGTTGCCACTGAGAGTGCCAAATAAAGTGCCATTACCATCCATAACTATGAAACCGAATTTGTCATCAGATTCCAAGAGTTCGTTTAAGGCTTCAGTATGGAACTTATTGTCGCAAAGGTAAAGAGAAGCATTAATAGGTTTGAAGGGCTCGAAATCAATTGTCACTTTCTTCTCTTTCCCATCATCGGTAACTATGGTTCCTGTGTATAAGACCAATCCATTAGGGGGGACCTTGTTGTAGAGCTTAAGCCTTTGTTGGGCAGAGGTGATGGCACCAAGAACTGATTGCCTGTTAACCCTAGATTTGATGTTCGAGGCAGTACCAAACTCATCACCAAGCATCTTTGTGACCCTGGAGATTTGATCACGAGGGGGCATAATGAGAGAGATCATGCTTGTGCCATTGCCCCTTGCAGCCTCCAGGGCCTTAATAAGTTTCTTTATCTTCCATATCTCGATGTTCTTGTCGGTTTCGTGGCCGTCAGCCATTATCACAAATGGGAGCAAAGTTACTGCATATTAAGCACAAGAAGAAGTTAATATAAATGCAAGTTAGAATTCTATGCATCCTGAAGCAACAGCTCATTTTAGAGAGAAACCACAAGCAAAAATTTATGGCTCGAGAGTAAAATTCTAGACTATAAAAAACTATAAATTGCCTCAAAGAACGTTGTCATAGAGCAACCTCAGGTGTAGCATTTGACAATAACATACCCTTTTTTTCCAAATTATAAAAGAATCCTGATAATTCGGAAACACAAAACAAACCAACCAAAAACAAGCTCTATTCTAAAAAAGAGAACAAAAAATATGCTCTTTGACAAGCTCTTTTCTAGAAAAGAGAACCAAAAATATGCTCTTTGCTGTAAAAGAGAAGTCCTTCATAACGATCAGGTGGACTAGTTATCTGTCCCTTCACCCCTGGAGAATCACAACTATGCCACAGGGGAACTACAAGACTACCAATTGGGCTCTCCTATCTAGGTACTCAAAGGTAAATGACTTTGCTGACCTGTCAGGACAATATGGCACCTTCAGGTCAAGTTCCGAGTGTTTGTGTTTGGGAATCTTTGCAAACTCTGTAATCTATACTTGTATTGAACACATGTACCGTATTTTTCCTTATTATTTTAATTCAATTATCAAAAATACATCTCCAAATAAAAGTAAGAGGATAGTGCCCAAATTTCATTTTGTAAGAGCACGAGTAATCTAACAATTTAATGTTTAGTAGCATGGGAAAGAGGGTTAGTTCAAGCGCTGCCACCATGTTAAGCAATCATGTCAATAAATTGAAGATCAACATAAAAACAAACATCCAACAGTTCGACTGTTTTTATGAAACTTTGCCTGAAAGCAAGCATGCCTGTTGTTTTTATACCACTTTGTCTAATATATAGTTTTTTTTTTTTAATGAACACATTGTCTAACATGTGTTTGATATGTAGTTCGTATCACTATTAAGTAAAGGGACATTCTCTTTTATTTGGAAAACATTGCCAAATAATATTCAAAGTTACAACAGTATAAAAAAATTCCATCACCAAAGTCCTCGAACAAATACTTATATGACACGGAAGGCACCAGTTAGCAATATCATTTGAGTAACTGACCAATTAATATAAATGGGCAAATCAACCCTAAAAAACACCCAAAAAAAATATTAGGACAAGAAAACTGTAAAAGATAAATTGTGAGAGACAAGGCTTACGTATCAAACAACAACTCCTAAATCATAAACTTATGCATTAGCAAAACATGAACACCATCATCTTCATCAAAGCCTTTTTCCAACTAATTTCGGTCATACCCTCAGTGAGGCCATAAGTCCACATCTTTTCTCACTACTTCCAACCATGTCCTTTTGGGCCCACCCCTTGCCCTTTTGAGCCTTCCACTTGAACTAACTCGCACCCCCTAACAGGTGCTATACTAGATCTGTGTCACACATAGCCAGTCCACCCAAGTCTACTTTCTCTCATCTTATCGCCCATTGGTGGCATACCTAAATTCTCCCGAATGTATAACCTCATTAATAAAACACAGCCTCTTGTAACAAATTTTTGTAAGTGATCCAATTGCAAAGCAAAGACGGTAGAAACACAAAGGATAGGAGATGAAAGAGAGGGAGACCAAAACTCATAATGAAGATGAAGTATGAAATTTCGATCTTTTACTAGCAACATGGTGATTACAGAAATTTGGGCGCTGAACTATAGTTCAAGTGTTGAACTACAATTTGTCCTCCAAAGCCCAATCTTTTATAACTCCTCAAACATTCAAGTTATGTACTCCCTTCAATGTGGGACTAACATACCGCAGATTTTTTCTCTGCACGATATTCCTCTCTCTAGACAAAAAAAAAAAAAATCCTCTCTAACTCCTCAACCATTCAATTTCTATCGTCTCTTCGAAGTGGAACTAACATACCACAAATATTTGTTTCTCTCTACTCAGTATTCCTCTCTCTGGAGCGAAGAATTCTCCCTCCCTCCCTCCCTCAATGTAGAGTTGAAGTAGCACAGCCAAAGAAGCCACTTTATCACATCGCCCTCCCAAAGGTTCTAAATCAAGCTTCACAAAAACACACTCCCTCCCTCCCTCCCTCCCTCTTTGCATATTGACCCCAATTTTCTTTACAGTCTTCAAACACAAGAAACTTATCCAAAACATGTGTCTTATTCTTCTTGCACGAATTATCCGATCCCCATAATAATAGCTTGTGGCAACACCACAATCTAACAGTACCAAACTCTGGATCAAAAACTTGGTCACAAAAAACATAGCACAATAGCTCTGCTCTCCTAAAATCAACTGCAATTTCAAGGCCAACCTATGATCATGAGTGTAAATGGGCATGATTTGAATTGGGGGGAACCCAACAAGAGACGTTAGCACAGATCAAGTATGCACATCTCCAATGGCATTTCAGGCAAATAGAGCATTTGGGTACCTGGTTTCGAAGTGGAAGGGGTCATTGTGGTTAACTGGTTCTTAGACAGATGCAATAAGGCATTTGTGATGGTGATGAATTTTGTTTAGAAGGGGACAGGAGGGGTGGAGATAGAGCGAGAGAGCAAGAGAGAGAGAGAGAGAGAGAGAGAGAGAGAGAGAGAGACAAACGTAAA